ATTCTCAGGATATAAGATCTTAGTTATATACAACCATGATGCATACACTAAGCAACTACAGTAATGATGTCAATTTCATAAAAGACAAGGCCCTAGGTTATCAGACATCATATAATCAGGCAGTTCTATCATGCAATTCGTGAAGATCCCTAGCCTATCACTAGCATATTGTTCTAACATATTACAATATCAAATAATTACATGGTACTTTGGGGTCTACTTACTGGCTCCGGCTGATCGTACACATTGCATCCTCCTTTAGTATTTTGAAAACCTTTTGGAAAATCATTTTGAAAATCTTTTCCCTCAGTTTGAGACTGGATTCACACGAGTGTTCCTCCAACTCACTCTAACCAAGACTCTGATACCAACTTGTAACATCCATAAAATTCATAAAAATTTTAAACTTTTCAAAATACCAAAAACCATCATTTATTACAAATTGTTTTCAAAATAGTTTAACTTCAGAGAAATCCCAGAAATCATAACACAAAATGTGAGGAGGTGAACGATCAAGCCTTCGCTTTCCCGCAATCATCCGAAGTACCTGAAACAAAATCCAAAACTGTAAGCCCGAAGCTTAGTGAGTTTCCCTCAAAATACCAACACCATACAAACCAGACAATGTCATAAACAAACAGTATGCATATAGAGTCTTCAGCATGACTGGAACGCCTCACCGGGCCTTCAGCCTATCTGGCCCACTCTTAGAACCTTCAATATGTGTGGATCGCCTCACAGGGCCTTCAGCCTGTCTGGACCGTTCTCCAGGCCTACGGTCTGACTGGTACGACCCGTTGGGCCTTCAGTCTATCCGGGCCCCCTGGGTCTGTTGGCCTTGAGCACAAAGCATCACCGCCTCAACCCACCCGCAATGACACAATCATCACATAGATATCAAACGCTAGCTAGCACATATATTAATCATACAGGCCTAACAGATCACCAATCATAGCATCATCCTATATACTAGGATACAGATCTAACAGATCACTATACATAACATGATTCGATAAACCATGATACAATCCAAAGGGTCGGCCTTGGTGCCTTAGACCCTGTTGGTATAGTGAGGAGAACTCACCTCACAAGTAGTGCTGAACTGGTAATATCAATCCCAACTCACAGCTCCAAACTCTACTGCCTACAATCACCATATGACTAACTTCATTAAAATCCCGAAATACCCAAAATGCCCTCAGAAGTCAAACTTGGTCAACCATGGTCAAAGTCAAAGTCAATAGTCCATGTTGACCCAACTCGTCGAGTGCATCTATCAACTCGTCGAGTTCCTTCAGTATTTAGAAAACCGGGAAAACCCTAGTTAACTCGCCGAGTTATCACAACAACTCTTCGAGTTCGCACAACATCCAGAAGATCGAGGAAACCCCGATCCAACTCGCCGAGTTGGCAAGGTAAATCATCGAGTTTTCCTAGTCTGAACACATTCATCCACTTTCCAAGCGAGTCTAATGCCCCAAACTATAGATCTGGTCCCCTAGGGCTGAGATGCCACGTAAAGTTGCTAACTTTATGTTCATGCATGACATCAAGGGGCTAAGACACTCAAACCAAGCTTGTTAAGGGACTTATGTGACATCCCCATTTTCACGGCCAGAAAATACCGATTTGTTTATGCTTTATTTTGAAAATCAGAGTAACCTTTTAAAGAAAAGAGTTGCGGAATTTGTTCCCAGAAAAACATGATAAATACATTATCAAATCATTTCCGAAGAAATGTATTTTATTCATTTTAAAACATTGGGATGTCATCGTCAATACGGAAACATAAGCGTAAACAGAACTTACATTCGTTATCACTAGTGATTTATATCTCCTTAATCTCTCAGTGTAATGTAACTTCATATCGACACCTGTGATACAAATAAACTGAGTGGGTCAGGTTGGGAAACCTGGTGAGTACATAGGGTTTTCAACCCACAATAATATAATTATTATGTCTAATCATCAAACAATTAACCCAATTACCCATCCCCATTCTCTTCTTTAATCTTAAGGATCTACCCTAAGAGTAATCTATTCTTCATTCATTCATTCCTAAGGATTGTCCTAAGGAATAGGCACGAAGTCCATCGTTGCCTGTGACACAGCTGTCAAGCACATCTGCTAGTTCTATCACTTAGGCGCAGCTGCCAGAATTGTGACATTCTCTATGAGGCGCAGCTGCTGATATTGTCCTTTGGGCACAACTGCCAGGGTTATCTCGTTTATTGACAATATCATTTTCGAGAGTCCACTCGCAATACATGTCAATGAGTTTTTAGAGTACACCGGTGAACACATCGTTCACAACACCTACAGGTTGCGAGTCTGCTAGTGTTCCACTGGATTGTCTAGAATAGTCCGTGGTTGTCATCCATACTCTGCTAGATGACGGGGCCAACATTTGGGTAAAAGGCTTCTCACATCGTCCACCTCCCACCCTCACCTCATGGTCTATTTCACCTCTCACCTCATCATCCGACTCATATTTCATCTACCCATGTTTACCCAAATATATATACAGTTTAAATCATTTAAAACATGTATAAAATTGTTCATCCAACATAGATAGCAAGTATACAGATAATATTCACACATAGCACGTAATTTATATTAAATACTTCTTATCTATGTGTAAGATGAAAGTAACTATGCACTCACCTGACAAGGTGGTGACTCGGTACTCGGACAGCTCTTCGTTTACTTAAAACAGCTTCTTTCGACAAAACCTAGTATCATTACCACTAGGTTTTAGTCTAAGGTTCGACGAGACTAATTAATAGTCTAGCTATTATTACTATTATATAAGCGTTAAACAATATTTTCCAACCACTATGTACAGACAGGGGCCAGACATAAAACACCGGAGGGCAGGACCATTTTGGCATATAGCACTTCTGAAATCCAACAACCCTATGCGGCCCTTTAAACCAGATTCCCCGTACAGCGAGTAGTTAAAAAGATATTATAACGACACTTATATAACCCATAATAATAGCTCAAATACTCACTATAAGTTCCTAATAACATTACTATATTGAAACATAAGCTATACTAAAGATAGGTTAGGCGTAGCTCACTTACAGCGGGTTTTCTCGAAAACCGGGCTTCACTTGGAGCAGCGTTTCCGAACCAAAAGACCCTTTTTATCGGGGCTACGAGAGCCTCGGGGCTTCCTTCGGGTGCTAGGGGGTTTACCTAGACTTTAGGGGGGGTTAGGGAGCTTAGAGAGAGAGTATAGAGAGAGAAAGAAGAGTTTGGATGGTGTGAAGAATGAGGGAACCCGACACCTCTATTTATAGGCTGAATTCCTGATCAACTCGCCGAGTCCATGCCACATGTCAGCTTTCTGGTGGCCAAATGTATGTGGCCTGTATTGTGCCACGTCACCCCTTTTGCAGCAGTACCCTGCCGACTTCTAAACCCCTTAACTTTCGCATACGAGCTCCGTTTTCGACGTTCTTTTTTTCCACACGTAGGTAAAAACAAGATCTACAACTTTCATTTAGACTCCGTCTACTAATTCTCGACCGATCTTAACTTTAACAGTAGGAGGAGATTAGACTGTTAAATGACCACAAAGAATTCGTAAGTCCTTCATACGGACTCCGTTTTCGTCTGTATTTTTACCGTTGAGTTCCTATTAATGAGATCTTCAACTCTCATTTAGGTCACGTAAGCCAAAAACCGCTCGAAGGAGGGCCAATGATTGATAAATCGGGAAACTTTAAGTCCAAAGAGGCCATGAGATGTCCAGATCTGAAGTCATAGCTTCATGGCATGCTAATCCAAAAAATGACTCCAATATGAACCAAAATGACAATATACTTCCATAAGAGGATATCTAAGTAATAAAAGACCAACGTATCGACTTTATACCTCAAAATGGTTGCCACAACAGAGAATATGTCGGATCTATAGCCTTCCTTTCAATCCAACCTCTTCAAACTTCAAGCTCCTTCAAAAGATTGCCAAAAACTCACTCTCAAAGCTCACACACACACACACAAAAAGGGAAAGTATGCACGAATTAGGGTTTCTTTGGACAGAGGGGCGGATAAGGAGGCCACCAAAGGAGTATAAGTTCCTTAAATAGGGTGAAACACCCTAAAAATTAGGGTTTCATATTCTGCCTCCAACTCGTCGAGTTGAGGCCTCTCAACTCGTCGAGTAGATCCTGAAGAATGTGCGGCCACTATAACTCTACACGACGAGTTGGAGCCTCCCAACTCGTCGAGTGGCGCTGAATATATATATATATATATATATATATATATATATATATATATATATATATATATATATATATATATTAAGCTTAAAATTCATACCTAAAGATCGGGATGTTACACAATGTATGATTTTAAAGTAAATTGTTCGTTTAAGTTGGAAGTAATTGATTAATTAAGATAATAAAAAAATATTAATATACGAACATGAGGAATCCACTGTGAAGATTGAAATACAATTTGATCTATTCAAATAATTATTGCCTCAATTCTTTAATCGACGTGACTCATCAGGTAAATTATTTCCTTCATTATGAATTGAAGTTTTGAATGGTGGGACCATGTCACAACTCACAGCTTTAGCATTTTTTATTCAAACGAAATATAAATTCTATATATATAATATATATTTCACTTCAAATTTGTGTGGGGTGGGCTAAGGCTCATGTTGCACCCATATAGCTAAGCCTCTACTTTGTAATCTCTACGGTGAATAATGGTGATTTGTCATTTCCAGGCTGTTGACAGCTGTTGGAAACTGTTGAGTTAGTTAATTAGTTGCTATCGGTTAGGTTAGTTGTGTGTGTTATATACACACTCCTTGAGGCATTCCTTCTTTGTAAATTATGGAAGTAAATATCTATTTCTATTTTCCATTTCCTTTGAGTTTATGTTCTGTTGTATTTCAATTACATCATTATTCCTGGTATAAATAAGAGTTCTAAAAGCTCATTTTTACAAGGAATATGTACATTGCTTCAGCTATAACTTTTTGCTTTCTTGATTTGACATAATGAATATTTTTTAGCTGAAGTATATGTGGAAAAAAAGAAAAAACCGAATATAATTATCATTTTCACTGAATCATCAAAAACCATTTGGCAGTTTGACGAACTTGAAGAGGAAGTCTAGTTATTGTCATCTATTGGTTCTCCGCTTCATTGATTGAATATTGTGGGAGATCTTTTGCAACTTCTACTGTATTTTGTACTGTCTCTTCTTGATGTAATACGCGAGACCTGCACCCAAAAGTTAAGTAAACTAGTTTCAGGGTCAAGAAAAAAAAATCCAGGAGTCTATACAAAGGGGATAATTTTCCATATGCTAGACCACATCGCCCCATTCCAAGAGCATCATGTCATATGTAAATAAGGCATACATCAGCCTGATTGGTGGTTTACTTCTCACAAGAAACCCAATTCACATTGGATCTGACTGTGATATGTCCTAAATGAAAATCCAGGAGTCAGGAAGCATGGGCATGGGCATAGATCACCTTGGCAATGATGAAGCTCGTGGCCTCTCTACAGGATCAGCAACTGTACTGTTACCATAATGCTCCTCAAGGTAAGCAAGCTGCTTCTTAAATTGCTCAACAGCACTGCAAAAGTGAAGACAATCATATATTAGATGATATATTCCTTGGATACAGATTATCTTTCCATGTACCAAGTGGGGTCAGATAGTCTAGCTGGATCACATGATCAAAAAGCATGGCCCAAGTCAGTGGGGTTGACTAGGTCGAGAAAAGCCAAAAAAAGATATTAAAATTAGCTCCACACTATTTTAAGTCTGTTTATTATGTGAAACATGTGCTACAACAGCATGAATGACTTGCTGTCAACATCATGTGATGTTTTGGTGTATAATGTGTTTATCATTGCATTTAGTGATTAAATTTGTAGTATACTTCAACAACATGATGTTAAAATATTAAAATTTGTTGACATTATTATAAGTCATTTATTGTGTCAACAGCAGGTGAGCATTGATTCAAGGAGTGTTTAGCATGCTTATATGGTACTTTTTGTGCTCAAATTCATTGTATAATTCCACAATAGTCTTGAAATACGCTATCATGAAAGCGAAGTTTCAGGTTAAATATAGATATAATACAAATGTAGTTGGATTTAAATGCTAGTCATAAATATTGGGATGTGATGGATCAAAATTAGATGTCATGCAACATTAAGGGTATAGATGCTAATGAAATAAAGATCAACATACTTCCATTGATTGGTTTATTATATCATTTTACTTTCATCTCGTACTTCTGGTTTTATTTTCTATGTATTAAGGCATTCTAGTTTAAAAAGTGTACACAGTTATAGCATCGTACTCATGTTTTTTTATTAGTACATTATAACTTGTAAAATATACCCATTATATCGATGAATATTTCTTTGTATTTGGATGAGATTACTATAATTGAATAGCTTTTTCAAAATACAATATTGCAATCAGAAGAAAGGAAAGAAGGATGCTATAACAAACAAGTATGTATATGTTTTTTGCATTTTACCCAAAATATATTGCCAAAGTTCCAAAAATAATTGTACCTTGGATACTTGAAGCCAGTTTGTTGAGCTCCATCCAAGTACTCTTTCAACATATTGGGATGGTATTCAAGAATCTCCCTATAAATCAGTTCACGTACATCTTCTTTTGTAATTCTTCTTCTTTCAAACTCAAATTCCAACTTTGAAATGGGCTGAGCAGAAGGCTCCTTCTCAGTCTTAGCTATATTCTTAAAGTATGGATCTAAAAGAGCCTAATACAAAGCGCAAAACATGCTTTTTGATAAGGCTAAATACATGAAATAGCAACGTACTTTCAGTTATATGCGTACTATAGAATCCTACATTCATTTGTTTCTATTACAACATTGTACTCTCAATTGTTTTCTTAAACATTGTATTTTGATATATCTACACAGTTATAGCACTTTCATTTATTTACGTACTAAACATTATACTTTAAATGTTCAATCCATTTATGAATGTGAAAACTGTTTTTGTATTTGGATTGGTATAACTGGGTAGAATTTTCAAATTACAGCCTTAAGGAAAAAAGGAAACCGGAAGCTACAATAAACAAAAAGAATAAAGTGCGTTGCTGTTATGACCCGGGATCTAGACCTCGTGACAGGACTAGTGCTAGTGCTTGAAAAAGCCGTGAACTCCCTTGTAGCCTAGCCTCCTGTTTGCAGGAGACTAAACTAAGCTATTAAACTAATTTACTCTATTGATTATTTTCAAATTCCAGCATATCTTATTTCATGAATGACTACCCTTTAAATAGGGATAAACAAAAGACTCAAATCAGGAAACAAAGACTCTAAAATCGACTCATCAAGTATGATTCATAACTTCCTAGAATATAAAATACTTATTATCTATTAACTTGCAGACTCATCAAGTATGATTCATAACATTACTCCCTTCCTTTGCATTGAGCATGTCCGCAAACTCAAAACCTGGGTACGCGTTGTTAAAAACATCACGATCATCCCAAGTACCATCTTCTTCATCCTCCAACATGATACTAAACAGTACTTTCGCACACTTATGGCTGATCGAGAACATCTCATCACAGTTAAAGCATAATCCTTTTGCTCGCCTTTCCGCCATATCTGTAGTCGTAAGCCGTTTCAAAGCCGGGTTCCGCACATCAGATTTCTGAGAGCTTGAGAGAATACGTATGGAGGAAAGGGATTTCCAGATTTTCGATATATGATAAATAAACAGAGTACAAGGATTTATATAGATACAAAATAACAAACTTCTAATCTATATGCTACAAACAAGGAAATACAACCGGTTGATAATTATCTAGAAAATTAGAGCTTATCCAGCTCTCGCCAACACTCCCCCTCAAGGTGGAGAATGGATATCTACCATTCCTAGCTTGTTAAGAGAGCTACGAAAAGTCCTTCCACACACTGCTTTGGTCAACATGTCTGCAAGTTGATCTTCCGATCCTACGTGTGGAAGTTCTACTGTCTTACGTTCCAAATGATCTTTGATGAAATGTCTGTCAATTTCCACATGCTTAGTTCTATCATGTTGAACTGGATTATTAGCAATCTTCACCGCTGATTCATTATCGCAATACAACTTCATTGGAGCCCTTAGAGACACTCCTAGATCCCTTAAGATGCGTTTAATCCACAAAAGTTCACAAGTGCCATGAACCATTCCTCTGAACTCAGCTTCTGCACTAGACCTAGAGACAACCTTTTGTTTCTTACTTCTCCAGGTAACTAAATTTCCTCCAACGAATGTAAAATATCCGGAAGTGGACTTTCCATCACTACGATCGCCAGCCCAATCAGCATCTGTAAAACCACTTACATTATGGTCTTGATGTTTTCCAAAGAATAACCCCCTACCAGGAGATGACTTTAGGTATCTTAAGATTCGAAAAACAGCCTGCATATGTTTCTCACTTGGCGCATGCATAAACCTGCTTACAACTGACACAACATAAGCTATGTCAGGTCGTGTGTGAGATAGGTAGATCAACTTCCCTACCAGCTTTTGATAACTGTCTTTGTTAGCAGGCACTTGATCAGGAACCATCTCTAAGTGATGATTCACTTCAATAGGCGTATCAATGGGTTTACAATCCAACATCCCGGTTTCTGTTAAAAGATCCAAAATAAACTTCCTTTGATTCATCGATATTCCATTTTTAGACCTTGCTACTTCAATACCTAAGAAGTATTTCAAACTTCCAAGGTCCTTTAGTTCAAATTCAGTGGCCAAGATCTTCTGAAGCCTTTCAATTTCTTCTTTATCATTTCCTGTTACTACCATATCGTCCACGTAAACGATTAGGGCCGTCACTTTCCCGGGCTTGGTCTTTATAAACAAAGTGTGATCTGCATCACTTTGTCTATAACCTATCTTCTTCATAAAGGTAGAGAACCGTCCGAACCATGCTCGCGGTGATTGCTTTAACCCATACAAGGCCTTCTTCAGCTTACACACCTTTCCATGACTATCAACACCCGGAGGAGGGTCCATGTAAACTTCTTCTTCAAGATAGTCATTTAAGAAGGCGTTCTTTACATCAAACTGCTTTAACGGCCAATCTTCATTTACAGCAAGTGAAATGAGAATTCTAATTGTGTTCATCTTTGCCACCGGTGCAAACGTATCTCCATAATCGATTCCATACTTCTATGTATACCCTTTCGCCACCAACCTAGCTTTGAGTTTTACCACATTCCCATTCGAGTCCAATTTCACAGTGAAAACCCATCTACACCCCACCGTCTTTTTTCCATGAGGAAGAGTTACTAGATCCCATGTTTGGTTCATTTGAAGTGCTTTCATCTCTTCATTCACTGCTTGTCTCCACCCCTCATCCTTTAAAGCTTCTTCAATATTTTCCGGAATAGTGGTGCTTGCCAAATTATCTACCAAACCAGCATGTGCTTCCGCGAGCCTATGTTGAGAAACATAATTTGAGATCGGGTATTTCTTTTTCGCCTTTGGGTCTGGTTCGTACATTTTCTTTGGTTTTCCACATGTACTTCGTGTTGGGAGTCTTTGAGTGTTGTCGCCGTCTCCATCAGGTATTACACTCGCCTCCGGTTCTTGCTCATGTGCCTCCGGTTCTTGCTCATGTGCCTGTAAAACAGAACCCATTATATTATTGTTACCATTGTTTGTATCGCTGGCTATATCTGTAAAAACGGCATCATCGGTATCATTCCCTTCCTCCGTCTCTGTCTCACAACCTTCATCGAATCCTTGAAAAGGATTCGTTTCCACAACTGATTCATCAAACATTTGTGTCGGTGGTATCTGTTCAGTTACACATACAACTTCGTCATCATCATTACTAGAATTAGAGTTTTGTGTCTTATTCGGGATCACTTCATCACTATTTCTCTCCCCCTGAAGTGATACCTCATTCGAGAAATACGGTACCGTCTCGTGGAATGAGACATTACGGGTCACATACACTTTCCCATTGTCGGGATCAAGGCATCTATAACCTTTCTTGTATTCCGCATATCCGATGAACATGCATCGAGCAGCTCATGGTTCAAGCTTACCGGAGTTTTGATGAACAAATGCAGTACACCCAAAGATACGTGGCTCCAAATTCAGCTTTGGTTCCGTTTCTAGCAGATTATGAAGCCTTTTAAGAGGGGTATCGAATTGGATCACCCTCGAGGGTGTGCGGTTCATAATGTAGGCAGCAGATCGGACCGCCTCCCCCCAAAAATTCCTAGGGACTTTCATGTCAAAGAGTGAGGCACGTACTATCTCTAGTATAGATTTGTTTCGCCGTTCAGCTAACCCGTTTTGCTGTGGTGTTTTTGCACATGAAGTTTGATGGCGGATTGAGTTTTGTTTGCAAAAGTTTTTCATATCAAGGCTCACGTATTCCCCACCATTATCCGATTGGAGAGTTTGAATATCCCTCCTGTACTCCGTTTTCACATGATTATATAATTCTACAAATGCATTAAAAACTTCTCCTTTGTGTTTGAGAAGTGATACCCATATCATACGTGTACATTCATCTATGAAAGTAACAAAATAGCGTGCACCATTAGGAGTAGCAATTGGTGCCGGCCCCCACACATCGGAGTGAATTACCATAAAAGGCATTGTAACTTTATGAGTACTAGGACTATAGGATATTCTTTTATTTTTTGAAAGTTCACATATATCACAATTAAAACAATTGTTCGATACATTCAAAAACAAATTGGGTTTTAATTTCCTAAGATACTCAAAAGAAAGATGTCCAAGGCGGCGGTGCCATAGCACAATCATGGACTTATTTGCTTCTACTACTCCCACGTGATTCACTTGACTCCTACAATCTTCTTCCAAATAATAGAGTCTCCCCCTCCTAGTACCATAGCCACGAATCTGATGTGTCACCATGTCCTGAAACACACAATCATTTGGCCAGAATATAACATAGCAGTTTAGAGCTTCAGTAACTTGACTAACTGAAAGTAAATTGGTTGATAGGGAGGGAACAACAAGTACGGAGTCTAATTCCATGGATTTAGAGACCTTTACTGTTCCTTCAGCAGTTACACTTTCGACATCTCCATTAGCTGTATAAATTTTCGATTGTTTTGGTGTACAAGATGTGGTTAAGATACTAGAATCGTTTATCATATGATCGGTGGCTCCCGTATCGATTATCCAACTACTAGTTTTCGTGTGGTTAGGATAAGACTTAGCAGAATTTGTGAAAGTATGGGCTGCCACCGAAGCACCTTCACTATTGGAAGAGGAAGGTGCAGCCGCCACTAGTCCTTGCCCGACCTTCTTCCTCGGTTTCTTCGAAAAATCCCACCAGTCGGGATAACTGATGATCTCGTAACACCTTAATTTTGAGTGGCCTGTCTCTCCACAGTGAGTGCAAGTGAAATTGTTTCCGCCTTTTTCGTTTGGACCTTTATTCTTGAAGGGTCTGTTACGGGTTGCAGCATGGACCATGCTATCGGGTTCAACGGGTACAGCCTCCATTGCACTCCTTTGATTCTGATCCTTCCGAATATATGCATAGCAAGACTCAAGGCTAAGAGGAGGGTCCTTTCTAAGAGATTCGCTCCGAACCTGGTTAAACTCGGGATCCAAGCCGGCAAGAAAGATGTGGACCCTGAATCTTGACAGCGCCTTGTTTACCGCCACCGCTGCCTCAACATTATCAGATTCATCATTCATATGTATGTCAATCTCTTGAAAGAGACTAACCAATTCATTGTAGTAAGTTGCTAAAGGTCTTCCGTTCTGGCGAGTGCTGAAGGATTTACGGTTTAGTTCAAAGAGTTGGGTCTCATCTGTCCCGTCATAAAAGGTTTTCGATATAACACTCCAGATTTCAGCCGCCGTTTTCAGTCGGATGAATCTTCGCATTAGGGTTGGACTCATTGAATCAATGAGCCAACTTTTCACTTTGTTGTTATCCGTGGTCCATGATTCTATAAGTTTTTCATTCGTTATTGGTTTAACCGAGGATCCAGTGAGAAAACCGGATTTGTTACGAGCTCCTATGCGCATCTCCATTAACTGAGACCACAAAGGATAATTATTTTCGTCAAGAATGACACCAGAAGGGAACGGTGCATCTTGAATGTTTTGTACAATGACTGGTGCATTCAAACCAGATCCACCTCCAGTTTCAGATTCCACCATTGCTTCGATCTGTTACAAGACTTTCAAAGGATTTGCTCTGATACCATGAGAGCTTGAGAGAATACGTATGGAGGAAAGGGATTTCCAGATTTTCGATATATGATAAATAAACAGAGTACAAGGATTTATATAGATACAAAATAACAAACTTCTAATCTATATGCTACAAACAAGGAAATACAACCGGTTGATAATTATCTAGAAAATTAGAGCTTATCCAGCTCTCGCCAACAATTTCACCGTTCCGGCTCCCCCACCTGCTGACTCTCGGTTTTTGCTTCCTGCCGAGGGTTGATTCCCAGTTAATAGAGGTGCTCCAAAACTCATTGCCCGTCCCTCCTTCGCGAGTTTGAACTCAATCTGTCTGGCTTGGTTCATAGCATAGTATAGTGTGGTGGGTCTAGCAAACTCTACTTCGTAACGGATAACATTAGTCAAACCTGCACAAAAATGCCAAACACTTTGCTCCGGAGTCATACCCGTCGTTCGCCCCAGCAGCAACTCAAAGCCTTCACAATAGTCCTCCACCGTACCTATTTTCCTTAATCAAGTAAACTCGCCTAACGGGTTCATGCTCATCGGGGGTCCAAATCTGATTTTGCACTCTTTTGAGAGCTCGAACCAATTCAAGCGGGTCTTCATTCTTCGCAGGTTATGATACCACCCACTAGCTCGACCTTGTAGTGAAAAGGTGGCCTGCCTAACCCAAGCTTCATTGGGGGTTTGTTATTCTTCAAAGAAGTCTTCACATCTTTGAAGCCACTCGAGTGGATCACCCTTCCCATCATATATGGGAAACTCCATCTTGGAGAATCTCGGTACTCTTCCCCCACGGTATCCCGTATCTTCCGTCTCTTCCCAGTCTTTTGGTGCCCCCTGATCCCTTCTGTTTGACCCTTCTGGTTTGAGAGATTCCCAATGGTGTTTGAAAGGTTGGGGCTCACCTGTCCGCCATGATTCAAAAGCCTTGCTTGATCCTCTTCCTGCTCCTTCCTGGATCAAACCCTTACCTCTTCCAGCCAAGCCAAGCCTCCTTGGTACGAAAACTTACTGTTTGGATTGGCACCAAAGGTGGCGCCACCTCCTCTTCCACACACCTGTTCCGATGGGTCATCAAATCTATCAGACTCGAACATCTTGTCCACACTCTCATCATCTTCTTCTTGTCTGTTGGATTTGTTTTGGGTTAGGGTTTGAAATCTCTCTTCCATCGCTGCTTGCTTGTCTGCAAGGCTGTCATAGCCGCCTTTAAATCATTGGTACTTGTCTTCAAATCATTGTTGCTTTGTGTTTGTTGGATCATAAACGCTTCCAATTTCTTCATCAACTCTTCGTGTTGTGTCGACATCACGAGCGGCTCTGATACCAAATTTGTTATGACCAGGGATCTAGACCTCGTGACAGGACCAGTGCTAGTGCTTGAAAAAGCCGTGAACTCCCTTGTAACCTAGCCTCCTGTTTGCAGGAGACTAAACTAAGCTATTAAACTAATTTACTCTATTGATTATTTTCAAATTCCAGCATATCTTATTTCATGAATGACTACCCTTTAAATAGGGATAAACAAAAGACTCAAATCAGGAAACAAAGACTCTAAAATCGACTCAAATAATAAAAGATCCAAATTACCAAAATTAAAAATGGAAACAAGATAACTTCCTAGAATATAAAATACTTATTATTTGTTAACTTGCAGACTCATCAAGTATGATTCATAACAGTTGCTGTTTATTTCATTTAACCTTTTTTTTTGTTAAGAGAGATATTTCATAAATCTAAATATATATCCAAGATTTTACCTCCTCAGTAGTAGGCCTATCCCTATGCTCAAATGCAAGCATTCTTTCTAATAAACGAAGAGCAAGAGGATCTTTATTTGGGAACTTCTGTGAAAAAGGAATCCTGTTTTTCTTCCTCATGCTGCTCAAGTATCTCCTTGCCTTTTCATTTCTTATCTGTTTTGTATCATATCAACATTAAGAAGTAAGAAAGAGTGATTTACTTTCTAATGAATGATGATGTAAACCAACCATGGATATAGTTTCAGGTGATGGCGTTCCTAAAATATCAGTGATCAAGTCCAGCTGATGCACAACATTTTTCCCAGGGAAAAGGGGCTTTCCTGTTAAATATTCTGCAAAAATGCAACCAATACTCCATATGTCTATAGCGGGTGTGTACTGCAGAGAAAGAGCTATTTAGTACACGAATTCCAATCGGCCAATGTTTTTATATATAGTGCATTATATGGTTAAAAGCAAGAAATGGCAATGTACTTCCATTGATTTTTTTACCATAGCATCCTACTTCCAATTTGTTTTCCTTTTACAGCATTGTACTCTGAAACATCAAGCCTATTTTGGTAATGTCCTCCATATACAAAACACTTTTCACTACTATAATTTGGTAGATATTCATAAAATAATGTATTAATAAGAAAAAATTGGAAGTACACTACAATAATTGGATAGATTTTTCACCAGTACAATGCCTTAACAAAGAAAAATATAAACACAATGCTGTAACATCATGAAATAGAAGTAGAATCCAATAATGCACACATAAATGAAAGTGCATTGCTACTTTTCACAATTAGCACTAATTTATAAACCTTTATTGCCATCGATATATTTATTCAGAGCTTAAAGTCAGTCTAAATATGATTAATTAAAACATATTACTATAGTAATAGTTGTGGCACCTTGCTAAAGAATGATCCACACAGTTCAGGAGCCCTATACCATCGTGCTGCAACATAATCCTGTGAACACATCAAACACAAGCAGCTCACAAAAGTAACTTTTGAAGAACTAAGTTTACTATAATGAGCAACTAAGGGACATATTGTCACACCCCAATGCCAAAGTTGTATACTAGCCCAATAACAACCTGATTAACTTAAAAAACCATGGCAGTTTATTACACATACCGTCCAAAATATTGCAGTTGGTGGATCACTGAATGCAACCCTTGAAAGACCAAAGTCGCAGATCTTAAGTTTGCAGTCAGCATTGGCCAATATATTTTTGGGTTTTAGATCTCTGTGAAAGACATTTGCTGAAATTAAAAGAAGTAATTCAGAATCAGAACAAACAGAAATATAACAAGGCACGAGTACATGAAAAATAAACATGTACTCATATCATCAGAAGATGAGAATACTGTATGACCTGAGTGTATGTATTTCAGTCCTCGAAGAAGCTGATAAAGAAAGAATTGATGGTGTTCTGGTGTTAAGTCTTTGTTTGCTTTTATAACCTCATGCAAATCAGATCCCATAAGCTCAAAAACCAAATATATATCTTTGAATTCTCTTCTGGAAGGTGGTAATAAGATGTGTTTGAGTTCAACAATGTCTGGATGACGAAGAAGCCTGAGAAGCTTAATCTCACGAATGATGTTAACAGCAACAGAAACATGTTCGAATATATCATTTATCTTTTTGATCGCTACTTTCTCCCCAACATGAGTATCATATGCAGAACATACAATACCAGAGCTTCCTTTACCAATAACTTCCAATAATTCGTACCTACTCCTTTCACCAAATTCACTGAAAAAGTCTACTTCTGTCGGTTCCTGCAAACAGACTCCTATGGTCATTATAATAGATGAAAACTAGAAGTTATCTGGAAAATATTTATTTTATTTTATTTTGTGATTAAGCCCTCATTTCATATACGAAGAGACAATGCAAATAGGAAACTAGATAAAGGTAGCATGAATATTTCATGTAACCCTATTTCATAAATGTCATCTAGCATTTCTCCTCAAGTTGGAGAAAATATGTTAATCATGGCAACTATTACAAATATGATGGATTTATGCTTTCTGTAACGGCTTTGTGAGAATGTCAGCAAGTGAAAGGATGAAAAGAAATATGTTAGTCAAATGTTTTCCCATAAAACTCTCAATTTTGTCTTCATTATAAATATAAGTTGATGTGTACTTTTGGATACTTACCAGACTTGCAGTATGTTGCTGAAAACCTTCTTCTTTGTGCTTCCTAATACCAACATCAGGATTTGTAGAGATGAAAGTGTTGTTGTCAACCCGACCACTTCTGGATAGTTTTCGGGAACTTTCCTCACCCATAATATTGCCATTGTCATTACTTGATAACTTAGAATCATCATGGGCTGAAAAAGATGAACAAAACAAGACTATATAGTAATAATTTTGAGTTCTCTACCACATACACCTAGTTATTATATACCCTCATAGTAGATGAGCAAGTGAATGTCTCATAAGCATCGTAGCAAGTACAAACGAGCATTCTAAATCATCAAACAAATTTTTACTAGTTTTAAGAGGGTAAAGGCTACTATGGAGTGCCCCTGTGAACGGTTCCCATGTATTTAGGCATGCCGCATCACCTAGGCTAGCATAGGTCATTTGACAACCTTAGACACACATATAAAAGAGGGTGAATTATCAAGAATCAGGCTTCAGAGCAAAACAATTTAATTAGAAACTAGTTAATAATAAAACAAATGAAAGAAATTTGGATTATGCTAATCACCAATATAACTGAAGTAAATGATAGAATGATACCCTAAATATTTGAACTCAATACTCCTTTTCGGCATAACTGCTATTTTGTGTTTTAAAGTTATGAGATTGCATTTCTATATTAATCTAAGGAATCTGTAAACACAATTGCAGGAGCTGAAAATACCAGAGTTCTCTACACTGGAGGCAAAGGGAAACCGATCAAACATTCTTTCAAATATTGTTTTGCCACCAGCCTGCAAGGAACTATTCATTTTGACTTGTAAAGTCAATACAGATTCAAGACTGAAAACAACCTCAGCCATGGTAGGGCGATCCTTTGGATGGCTAAGCAAACATCTCTTTGCAATTCCAACAAACCCCTTCAAACATTTTGAGGATATTTCACCTCTTATATCTAAATCAATTATATCCTTTAACTTCCCCCCTTTGATAGAATATTGAGCCCATGTTGCCAAGCCCTCTTCAATACTTTTATCCAATGCACGCTTCCTGCACAGCACTTCGAACAGCACAACCCCAAACGCATACACATCAGACTTCCTTGTAAGCCTTCCAGTGTTGGAATAATGAGGATCAAGATACCCAAAAGTTCCTCTAACAAGTGTGTTGACATGAGTCGATGGCTGATTCGTTGGACCTATTTTGGACAACCCAAAATCTGAAATTTTAGCTGCCCAACTTTCATGTAACAAAATATTGGAGCTCTTGACATCACGATGTATAACCCCAAAATCAATCCCTGTACCAGTGTGGAGATAGTCTAACCCACGAGCTGCACTTATGCAGAGCTTGAGTCGTTGAAGCCAAGTAAGAGGGGTACCAAGTTTATGGAGGTGGTCTTCTAGCGTTCCATTTGGCATATATTCATATACGAGGATCATTTCATTTTCATGATTACAATAACCAAACAAGGATACAAGGTAACAGTGACGCAACTTTGAAAGCATCTCAACTTCCGCCCAGAACTCTGTTGCACCTTGACTGGACATGGAATCCAACCGTTTAATGGCAGCAACAATAACACTTGATCCATTGATAATATTACCTTTGTAAACTTTTCCAAACCCTCCATGGCCAATTACTAATGTTTCATCAAAGTTATTGGTTGCTGAGAGAAGCTCAGGAAATTTGAAATGAAGGCATGGTTGTGAGAATTCAAAGGAGGAGGACGTGGAGGGTTGGGATTCTTTGCCATGGCCAATAGAGGCCAACATAATTGTTGATGAAGAAGGAGAATTTGAAGTAGGTCTAGAATTTGAAATAGTTGTTCCACCATAAATGATATTGAAGGTTCATAGTCAACTGTAAACCTCCTTGCCAGAAGGAGAAATGCAGCCCAGCATGACGCCACATTTGTTTTAAGAACATATTTTAAAGTCAAATGTATACTTGTTGCTGGAATAGTGGAATGAGAGATGGAGCCCAAGTAAAGGCCGACCAGATATCAGAAATCAGTCAAATATTTTATTTTTTTAAGTCAACCCGTTTTTTGTAAGGGAACTCTTCTTTTTGTGGATCGATTTGGACGGGTATCATTTTTTTTAATTAGTTTATGCCTTATGTCTTATTAGACTATTTCCTATTTCCATTAGCAATCAAATTAATCTAATTATTTATTAAAACACTAATTTTTTTATTATTCAATTTAAACAACCCAATTAAACCAAATTCTTTATATTTTTTTTTGAACTGACAAATATAAATATATAATATACTCATAAACTAAAACCTAATTTTACCTATATCAACAACAAGGGGAGGGCACCATCTAATTTTTTTACATATTTTAGTAAACCAATCCACACCAATTTTTATTAAATAAATAAAATTATAATTGTTTTTATACTGTAAACAACTACTAGAAATATCAAAAATAACGTTTTTATTTCGAAACAAACAACTTATTTATTTTAAATATATAAATAAATAAAAATAAATAAGTAATATGTTACATAAATCAAGTTGTGTGTTTTTGGTCATATAATTGGATAGGCTGTAATTCGTTGAGTGAAGTATTGAAAACACTATTTATCACCTTTGGTTTAGAGAAAAATTATGAATTTTGATTCTTTTCTTGTATATTTTTGTTGAACCCATAATCTTCCAATTATGGCATTACACGTGGCAAGATGACATATTAAAAAAAAGCTCAACTTACGGTGGACACACTAAGGCTGCCCGGAGTAGAGGGAGCTCCACGCGTGAGTTGCTTACGTGGAGGCTCTCTCCACGCGCGAACACCGCCCCTGGCTTCAGTGGGTTGGTGGTGGCGTGGCTCCCAGGACGGACGAAGACGCGTAAATTGATTGGCCCCTTTAATTTCGACCGTTGGACATTAAATAAAAAAAAACTTTTTTCTTTAATTTCATTTCTCTCTCTCTCTCTCTCTCTCTCTCTCTTATATATATATATATATATATATATATATATATATATATATATATATATATATATATATATATATAATATATATATATATATATATACATCCACTTTTACACAATTTTTTCAAAACAAACATACAAATTCTCTCAAATTAAACATACAAATTCAACAAAAAATGGATAGCGGTTATGATGACGATTTGGTGTTGCACACACTATTGTCTGCGACACAAGACGTGATTCGTGAGAGAGGCGAAACTTCACACCGCGAGAAGAAACATAGAAAATATATCAATCGGGATCGAGAGGCGGCACATGAACTTTTGGTACGTGATTATTTTTCCCCTGATAGTCTTTATGACCTATTGAAATTCGAAGAACGTTTTCGTATTAGTAGAAATTTATTTTTACGTATAGCTTCAGATTTGGAACGTAATTATGAGTTTTTCCAATTACGATGGGATGCTAGAGGTAAACGTGGTTTTACCACAATACAAAAATGTACGACAGCTCTTAGACAATTGAGATATGGTATAACCGCAGACGCATCAGATGAGTATCTGAAAATGTCTGAGAGGACGGGTCGAGATTGTACATATCTTTTCTGTGAGTATGTTATAGAGCTTTACCGTGACATATACTTGCGACATCCGACTAAAAGTTATGTCGAACAGTTGTATGTCGTGCATCAAGCTAAACATGGTTTTCCAGGGATGCTTGGTAGTATTGATTGTACACATTGGGAGTGGGCAAATTGTCCCAATGCGTGGCGTGGTCAATTCACGCGAGGAGATCATGGGGTCCCGACTGTTATACTGGAGGCGGTTGTTTCAAACGACCTATGGTTTTGGCATGCATTCTTTGGTATAGCGGGGTCAAACAATGACCTGAATGTGCTTCACGCGTCTCCGTTATTTAATGATATTTTGCAGGGTAAAGCACCAGATATGTCATATGTTGTGAATGGAAATGAATATGGATATTACCTAGGTGATGGGATATATCCAGAGTATGCTACATTTGTTAAGTCTTATTCATTTCTAGCCGATGAGAAACGAACATTGTTCAAGTTAGCACATGAATCTGCACGAAAAGACGTCGAACGAGCGTTTGGAGTCCTAAAACAAAGGTGGCACATAATCAAGCATCCGACACGAACATGGGGTAGGGAAAAACTAACGACGGTGTTGACTGCTTGTGTGATTTTACATAACATGATAATAGAAGAAGAGGGCAGAGCTATTTGTTCATATATCGGTAACGATGTACTTAACCCACCTGCAGTAATACAAGTTGACAGTCTGACATACTTCTCTAGGGTTTTGGAAATACAAAATCATGAAACACATCACAATCTATGACACGATTTGACCGACCACATATGGGGGAGACAACTCCAAGGGGGGAATGACGATGGAGACGAAGAGGATGAGGGCGATGATTACGACGAGAATGCAGACGGTGACGACGAGGCGGATGAGGATGATGAGGACGATGACGACGAGTAGTATTTGTCTACGGTTTTTATGTTTTACTTTTTTTTTGTTTTTTTAATTAAGTAATGTAATATTTGATTTGTTATGTTTTATGTGTATTTTAGTAATTTAGGTTTTAAATTTCTATGTTTTTTTTTTTGTGTTGTCAAAAAATTTATTTATATTATAAATTATGTTTTTTTATTTCATATAGTGTTACAAAAAATAAAATAAAAAGTTATGTATTTTATAAATTATGTTATTTATTTAATATAATGTTAAAAAAATAAAAAAATAAAAAAGTGAATGTTGTTAGTGGTGACCATTTCCTATGTGGAGTGGGTTAGTGGTGAATGTGACGTGACGTAGAGGTGGCACCACTTTTCCGGTGGATTGGTGGTGACCACTCCCCATAGCCTAACCTAGCTGGTTGGTAGGTTTTGGAGACCTTTCTCCATTTTTTATAATTTCTTGCCAACCAATTAGAGATTTTGTTGACAATGGCAAGAATGTTAGACTAGGGTGTACTCCCTTACTATCCTCACTTTTATTTTGTGAACTAAACGTCACATTATTTTCTCCACACTCTCCTTTTTCCTAGGCAATTTTTATCGCTTTTCCCACACTTCTTATATTATTTTTAAAAATTGTGAAGGAATATGATCTTGTTTTTTCTTGAATCAGGAATATGATCTTGTATCGTACATATGTCAAATCAATAAGAATAGGGAGTGGTGATTTTGCTTGCCACGGTGGACTTCCTTCCTGTAGTGAATGTACCTGGTGTTACCACACCCATCGTGGTGTCTGGCAGCACTAATAGCATGTTGTGCTGCTGATAAACCCACCGTAAGGGTCTTACGAAACATCTTCTTTTTGTGCATTCAATGTTAACATTGAGTTTTTCAAAAAAAATGTTTTGCTACATCATATTTTTCTTAATACATTTTTAATAAAAATCTATTATTATAAAAGTTTTCTAATTATTGATGGGTTTCAAAGCCCTTTTATACAATTAACTTAATTACAAGACCAACATTAAAAGGGTGTTGGGTGTGCGATAGCAAAAGGCCTCGAAAAAAAAAAAACAGGCCGAGTTTTGGTAAAATTAGATATTTAAGATTTATATATACCAATACAATATAAGTAAAATATTACAAAAATTATTGCAACTTTAGATAGCATTGTGATAAGCCTTTAGTCTCTCCATCTAAGTGACTAGGTTCGACTCTATGTTGCTCCACTTTTTGTGTATTTTTCGTAATAAGTTTGGCCTTTAGTTTCATGAATCGTTCTCTTTTTTATTTTTTCTTGAATTCCTATCTTTAAATTACGACAAAATTACATTGTTGGTCCTATGGTTTATGGTTTCTCAAACAGACATAGAAAGGAAAACTCTTAAAACTCCTACGCTTTTGGTCCCCGTGGTTTCAAAAATATGATTCATATTTTTCATAACACGTATTATTACGAGAGTTGCAACTTGTTTATGGGACAAGTGAGATACTACGCAATGCATTTCTAACAAGAATGGTGTTAGTAAGTTGTTATAAAATACTCTAAGTATGGAGGGTAGTGTACTTTAGGTACGCGATGCTTTAGAGAAGAAACACACGACACGTTTAAGAAATATATTGCCATCACTTAAAGTGTTGACGAAGAACGCTACACGTTCGTGAGTAGGACACGACGCGTCGAGGTGTCCAGATGCTCAATTTTCATGTAACAAAATACTGGAGCTCTTGACATCGCGATGTATAACCCCGACATCGATACATGTACCATGTGGAGATATTCTAACCCACAAGCGACACCTATGTAGATCTTGAGTCATTGAAGCCAAGAAAGAAGGGTACTAAGTTTATGGAGCTAATATTCGAGTGTTCCATTGGGAATATATTTATATACAATGAGAATTTCATTTTCATGGTTACCATAACCAAACAAAAATACAACATGATAGTGACTCAATTTTGAAAGCATATCAACTTCTACCCATAACTTTGTTTCCTGACTGAACAAAGAATCCAACTGTTTAATAACAATACTGTAAACACTTAATCCATTGATAGTCATACCTTTGTAAACTTTTTTGAACCCCCCCCCCCCCCCCCATTCCCAATTACTAATGATTTACCAAAGTTATTGGTTGCTAAAAAAATAACTAGTAATTTGAAGTGACGAGATGGTGGTAAGAATTCTATGAAGGGGGATGTTGACATTTGAGATACCTTAGTAGTAGCAAACATAAATATTGATGAGGAAGAATTCGAAATAGCTTGAAAATTTTTTAGTAGTTGTTCCACCATGGATGATACTGAAGGTTCAAATTCAACTAACAACTGTAATGAGATATGGAACCGTGATGCCAAATTTGTTTTAAAACCAATGGGTTCAATTTCTCGGGTTTTCAGTTTTACTGAATCGGTTTCGGGTTTAAACCCAAACCCATTCCATCCCATAAGTAAAAGCATATGGGGCACGATTCATTACTTCTAGTTCAATACAAGAACTAGGAAATTAGCTTAATGTCATGTCACACATTATGAACTATTTTGAGCTACTTTGAGATTTCGTGTACTTTGGTTTATCCTAATTAATTTCATAGATCTATGTCCATAAATCAACACATTCAGTATGTGTATCATTTCTCCGACTAGCATCGACACATCCATGGCTCATCTTTGTTTCTCGAAATTCAAATTCTTTGAAATAAAGATCCCAGTTGCTCCCACTCTCATTAACACACACACATACACATACACACACATACACACACACACACACACACACATATATATATATATATATATATATATATATATATATATATATATATATATATATATATATATATATTGTAACACCCATAAATTTCAAGCCAAATTTAAACTTTTAAAACATTCAAAATACCAATAGTTATTACAAAAAGGTTTTCCAAAATATTTTAATATCAGAGTTCCCAGAAATCATAATCATAAACTGAGGGAGTGTACGGTCACGCATTCGCCTTCCCGCGGTCAGCCGCTGAACCTGAAACAATAGTTGATAAATGTAAGCTCGAAGGCTTAGTGAGTTACTCCCAAAATACCAACCTCACATAACCATAATCATAACATATCTACAAATACAGAACAACCATGCAAATTGAGTCTGCAGTGTGATTGGTCCGCCCGCACCGGGCCTTCACTCCCACCTAGTCCACTATACGAGTCTACAGTATGACTGGTTCGCCCGCAACGGACCTTCAGTCTATCTGGCCCACTCTCCGAGCCTCGGCACGTCTGGACCGCCCTCTCGGGGCCTTCAGCCTATCCGGACCGCTCGCCGAGCCTTCGGCCTGACTATGTGCCCTTCCCGGGTCTGTAGTCTATCCGGTCCGCCCTGGGTATGTTGGCCTACAGCACAAAGCAGGACCCGCCTCAACCCAACCCCCAATCAAACAACCATGTGCACATATAACTGTTGGATAAGGTGTCTAAGTCCATAACTTATTTGGTATATACTTGACCCGATCCGACATGGTCCATTTGGGTTGCACTTCACCCGAACTATTTATATGGATAATATTATGAGAAGAGTATATTTGCGGCCTACTAATATATTATAAGTTATAATATATTAATATGAAATTGTATTATTTAATTAGTATTGATCTTAAATTAATTATGAATTAATTTAGTGATCATAAGGTGAATAATTAAATAATGGGCTATTGTACTTATATAGTGTGGGCTAACACTCATAAGGAAATGGGCTAAGCTTGAATGGGAGTCCATGGATGATCCATGGAGCTTTTAACCCATGGATCCTTGGAATAGGAAAAGACATGGGTTATTAGGGTTTGCATGGTTCATAACCCTAATCATCTACACTATATAAAGAGGCTTATGGTGCTTGAAAAGACACTAGGTGTGTGTGCATAAGGTGTGGCCGATTTCTAGAGTATTAGAGTGCTTTCTCATAAGTTTTCCAAGTTTGTGGTGATTTGTGATTTCCATTTGAGGCATTCACATTATTGGTGCTTGGCTCTCAAACTCCCAAGGAATCAACTCGCTAACAAAGGTATGTAATTCTTCTAGTATCTTTTATGTTTAAAAGTACCCCATGTATGCTAGATAGGTTATGAACCTTGGAAAATTATTTTGCATGTATTTTAGACAAACATAGATCCAAGGTTTCTAGGGTTGCATGAACACCTTAGGAGTGTTAGTGTGCTCAAAACCCAATAGTGGTATCAGAGCCTAGGCTTGTTTGTTTGATACTTGTTGCAAACTTGTTGAAAAACTCAAGTTTTCTGCATTCTGCAGCATGAACTTGCCGAGTCCATGGGGGGACTCGCCGAGTCCATGAGTAAATTCATCCTACTCGTCGAGTAGATTCGTGCACTCGACGAGTAGAAACCTTAGAATGCAGATTTTCGAGTTTTGCTGCTGGAAATGGACTAGAAACATTACCCTAAACTGTTTTGGTGTTATAAAACCTGTTTTAGATGGTGTAATGTTTATGCTAATCCATTTACAATGGCTTATATCAAAATTGCATGATGATATGTGTTCATATGTTCTTGGAATTTTTGATATGATGTTCATGTTCTTATGAATTATTGTTAGATCATAGGAATTATTTGCTAAATTGTTTATTGATAATTCTTGATCATTTATGTGTTTTAATGGAGTCCATAATTTGTCCTCAAGTTATGGATTTCCAAAGGTCACTTTCATTTATGCACACTTAAAACACATAAGTTACATGAAAATGAAGAGTCTTCATTTTATGAACCTTTAATTCATAAGTTATGAAATGAAAAGTTTTGAATAGTTTCAAAACTTGTCCTCAAGTTTTGGAATTTTTAAAGTTACGCATACTTTAATATACTTTAATTCCAAACCCTTAGAGTTTTAAAAGTTAAAATTCAACCCTTATACTATTTATAACATTAATGGTTAATTATTATATATATGTATAAGATTAAGTCGTTTTACCGTTAGTAGGCCTCATTCACGAAGCCGGTCTATAAGGGGGGTATAACGTTGTTGCCTATAAAATGGCAACTTAATGGGTGTCCATTCTCACCCACCGCTTCCTTGATCGGTGGAGGGTCGTTAGCCGAACGGGTAGGACAATGACTTTAAATTCTCATTAAAAGTATAATGAATATTATATGGTGTTGGATCCTTGCCTTAATATTACATTTGGGTGTATTATTAAGGATTCGATATATCTAATCTAAACTTGTTTTCTTCTTTTCAGATGTCTTCCAACAACAATGCTTCGGGCTCTAACCTTACTGGCTCCTTTTCCCTCATGAACCTTTGTGGGAGGGTCATCTTTGATGGTTCCAACTTCATGGATTGGATCCGGAACATAAGGATGGTCACTCGTTACGAGGACAAGGAATATGTCCTCGATAAGGAGCTAAAGGAGCTTGATGAGTCCACTGCTACTCCCGAGGAGGTCGCTGAGTATCAGGCACATGAAAGAGATGCCACCAAGGTGGCATGCATCATGATGGCCACCATGACAGCTGAACTCCAAAAGTCCTATGAGGACTATTACCCTTTTGAGATGCATCAGGATCTCATGGAAAGGTACCATCAGAGTGCTCGTCAAGAGCGGTATGAAATAATCTCCTCCATGATCACTACCCGTATGAAGGATAGCGAACCAATCACGAGCCACATGTAGAAAATGCAAAGGTATGTAGACCATCTAATGAAACTGAATGTGAACTTCCCTGAGGAGTTGGCAATTGATATCATTTTGCACTCCTTGCCCTCGTGTTATGATCAATTTCGTATGACATACCACATGAACAAGGAGGAAGTCACACTCAGTAAGCTTCAAGGACTTCTGAAGACTGCCGAAA